AGTCCGTAGAGTCGAGTGGCCCGTACCCAGAGCTTGTTGGCTGCCTCATGTACCTGATGACCTGCACACGACCTGACCTTGCATACCCTCTTAGCATTCTCGCACGCTATGTTGCTCCTGGGAGACACCGACCAGAGCACATGGCTGCAGTGAAGAGGGTGTTGCGCTACCTGTGCAGTACGTCGGGCATGGGGCTAGTGCTTGGAGGGCGGAGTACAGTGGTCCTCACTGGGCACGCGGACGCTTCTTGGGCTGACGACCAGGCTACGCAGCGGTCGTCACAGGGTTACACCTTCAGCCTTGGTTCCGGCTCTGTTTCGTGGCGGGCTACTCGCTCGTCTTCTGTTCTTGGCTCCAGTTGTGAGGCTGAGATCTACGCCGGGGCCATGGCTGCACAGGAGCTTCGCTGGCTCACCTACCTGCTGACCGACCTTGGAGAGCCGCCTTGTTCTCCTCCAGTCCTGTACGTAGACAACAAGGCCATGCTGGCCTTGTGTCGAGAGCAGCGACTGGAGCACAGAACAAAGCACATTGCTCTCCGCTACTTCCTTGCTCGTGAGCTACAGCAGCGTGGACAGTTGCGGCTTGCGTACGTGGCCTCTGAGGCCAACACTGCTGATGTCTTCACCAAGGCACTTCCGCCTTGTGATCATCAGCGCTTCTGCACTCAGCTGGGTCTTGTGCCCGTCTTGCCTCACTTGCTCTCCTCTTGACCTTGCTTGTACTCTCACATATATATATACCTGCTCTTGCTTGTCTAGCTTTATATATATGTGTGTGTACTCTTGCATGTGAACTGACCGTGTGGCCTTGACCCTGTGCTCGGACTGTGTGGTGACTTTGTGATCCACCCTGAGCTTGCTTTGCTTTGCTTTGCTTGACTGGTCTTGTGACCCCCTGTTCTCCCCCACTTTGCCTATGGGGGTGTGTCAGAACATTATAGCTTATGCTTTTGTGTAGGCTATAGTGGGGTATCCCATAGGGGGTACAACCCAATTAGGGTTAGTACTTGTACCCACTTCATTCATAGTCCATTCATTCTCATTTCAATTCTCACATTACTGTTGGGTACTCTTGGCGGGAATAGTCATGTACATGGTAAGGGCGTGCCTTTTTTTTCATGTTTTTTTCGGACTGTCCACTTGTATTGAATCGGATGGTCCCACTATCAGGTACTGGACAATCCGTTTTGAAATTTCCGTTACATAATTATTTCCCTAAATGGTGCACTTGGTACTAGCAAACCCGTATGAAGATGCCACACATTTTTGCCACCTCATTCACATCAGATCAGGAGTAGGTCCGACTAGCTATGACACCGCCGCGACGTCGTTTTGAAATTTCGATACGTTAGTCTGTTCGAATGCGAAGGCGTCACTTTTCTCAACTTACTGCCGATGTACTGTAGACTCGCGAGAGGTACTGTAGTATCCTAACCTTGTTCAAACGGGTGTCGTGTACCTGTGTCAGCATTGTTCTTCTGCCCGTTTGCATTTCGAACTGCCGAATGTTCACAATGTGAACCGTTGCTTGGAGGAAAAAGTGACGTGACAGTTTGAACCGTTGGCGATGTTGCATGTACTTCCACGAAGATGGTCACGAATGTTTGCAAAAAATGTAACCGCTTCACAAACCAGACGGTCCACGGTTTGAACTGTCGAGGGCAAAAAGGAGACACGCCCTAAGAGGGTTGCAAAGTAAGGAAAGGGAAGTTTTCTTACACTCTTTTATCGTCGCTTGGCCTTTATTTGCAAAAGAAACTGCTGTGGCGGAGATGACCGATCGCACCGCGCCATGCTGCTTTTTGGCACTGTGCTGTTGTCGCCATGGTGGCAACACATTGGTCGGGTCCGGTGATACCGCTTCGTATTGTTTGACGCTTGCTTGGGTCTAGGCCTAGTCCAACCGAGCCTAGCTTTGCGGCCCAAATCTGCCTTTCTGCACGTAACCGAACCGGCGAAGAACTGGGCCAGCCCTCGGTGCATGCGGTAACTTCGTCAGGCAATGTCGTTGCATCGCATGTTCCCATGCGAGAGGATTTTATCAAATAGAGACAAACCTGAGGTAGGGTGGCTACCACTCGCCGCCAAAACTTCGGTGGCACACGGGCATGCCCCTGGTTCGCCAAACGAGCCGAACGCCTTCCACCCCCAAACTTCTGCTTTCTCTCAGCTCCCCGCGCCGCGACCTGGCAGGCTCGGCGGGTGATTCGGGCACGGTGCTTGACAGAGACGCAACGGAATCTGGTTTCGCATAAACAGACCAACCGGGAAAACTGAGGCCATCAGCAAGAGCAGCAGCCGGCCATCCATCTGTGTGTCAATCAATCCCAAGTCAACGAAACAGCCACAGACTATTTTCACTTGACTGCCTCTCTGTCAGCAGCAAACTTGTTTGTGTAGTTTTCGCTCCGGTGAGTAGAGATAGAAGGGGGGAAAAGAAGGCGAGGGAAGCAGGCACGAGGGACAGGCTAAGGTAGTTACTGAAGAAGACTTAGTTGCTGGAGCATGATAATGTCGGGAACCCGTGTTCTTCGCACAATGTTTCAATAACCTGTGACGCCAGCAACTCGACACCCTAAGGCCGTCCACGTCCCTCTGGTTATCTCCGAGTGTTCAGGTAACAGCCTGCAATGCTCTCTTATGCTGCCCTCTTTCGTATTCCTGACGGTCCCTGGGTGTCGCTTGGCAATTCGAGGGCATATGCAGCGCGTGGTTGCACGCCGTGATGACCTCTCCCGCATTTCTCCCTCTTGCATTGCCATAAATTGCGTCGCATTGTATCGCAGCGTTTCTTCGGGCCCTCGACGCAGCGTCGCGTGCTAAGTCTCCAGTGTCAAACTCGCGGCCGCTATCAGACGCCCTTCCTCGACTCAATATTCTCTCCCCTCTCTCCCTTCCCTCGATCTTGTTACAGGCACACTGTCTTTCAAAGCAAGCTCGTGAGGAACCGTACTCTCGCAGAAACTGTTTCCCGTTTCAAGCCGCGTACACTTCGCTTATCACCGTCTCGAACGCTTCACCCTTCCGTCCAGCCAACCAATCATGACGCTTCCGTCCATCAACGTTCCCAAAATGCCTCGCGCTGCCAGCGAGCTCCTAAACGGCTCGTATTTTGGCAGCCGAAGCGCGCGCGAGAGCCTTCCGACGCTCAGCACCCAGAGCAGCAGCCTATCAGATCGAAGCATATCGACGCGCAGCGAGCCGGCGCTGAGCAGCGGCGGAGAGATGGCGGAGCTCGAGCACCAGAGCTCCGCCGGGGGAAAGGCGCAAGCGGGGGGGGAAGCGGAGGGCGGAAAGACGGCGCAGCAGAAGCAGCAGTGGGGCGCGTGGCACGCGCAGGTGCAGCAGCTGTGGGGAAGCAGCAGCCAGCTGCTGGCGCGGTACACGAGCGGGGGGAAGGTGGCGTCGCTCGAGAACAACTGCGCCATGCAGAGCGCGTGGAATCCCGTGGGCGCGCAAGGGGAATCCGACCGACCACAGCACGTCGTGATTTACATCTGTGAATCGTGACCTTGGGTTCGGGACGTGGGTGGAAAGTGGCAGGTCAGGGTAGTAGGGAGAGTAGATTAGTGTGTAACGAGCATTGCTGGGGTAAGGTGGCTTAGGGGTGTGCTGACAGGCTGGCTGGCAGTGGCTGACAGTGTGTGATAAGCGGATTTCCTGTGATTTGACGCTAGTAAGCAGCAGCCTGGCAAGCAAGCATGGCCCTGTCAGCTCCGTGAGAGCAGCAACTGCATTCTCTGTGTTGTCTTCGGTTCCAGCCCTCAAATCTCTACCTCTGTAGGTAGCAATTTGTTTTCAGTTTGATGATGTTTTTGGTTCGTAGTTCTAAATGATTGATAGTTCGCAATGTTTCGGATGCTGATTCCGTTCAAAATGGCTAGCTATGCATCATCATGTCATTGCTCGTTGAACCGGAAATGGAAGTGAATGAATCCTCTTCAACTTTGCTATGATGTACTGTACCCAACAAGCTTATTGTCATTGTACTACACTCAACTGTTTTCTCAAACAGATTCATTTCAAATTACTGTGAGCGCCACGAAGATCAAAACTTGGGAATGTTCGGTTCGGATCAACACTTGACCCTCCTGCCCCTGACCAAATCGATTACTTCTTGCTCAAGCGTCCATCATCCCACCTTCCGTTTGGACGGCTGTTTACTGCTGCGGCGCTCACTCTGTACATTGCTCGAGACTGCCGTCAGATCGCTCGCCGCCGGTGCACGCATCGCGTCGGCTTCGCGCGTCGCTTGATTTCCCTTGTTGCCTCGTCGCTTCTTTCCTGTTCTGTCTTTTCCTTTTCGTAGTGATGGCGACCGACTTCGCTCTACGATTCTCAGCCTATCGGGCTCCAGCACTGTGGGGAAGCGCAGCGAACGCGATCGCGAACTCGAGTAGAAGTCGGGAGCGCATGCAGCAGCTTAGGCCAGCTGGCGCTGTACACGTCAGCATAGGTTCTTGTCCGCCTGGATTCCGTCTATCCGGATTTCGTCCATCTGGATTCCGTTTACGTTCCGCTCAACGTCCGTTAGACTTATCCGATTCAGGCCCGGGTGATGTTTGCAGCCGGTCGAGGGAGACTCGATCCTCGTTAGTGAGTGCCCCCCTAAGAGATTCCTTCGCCACGCTTGCTCGTGCCCTTCCCATCCCTTCGGCCTCGTCGTCGCATCGGCCTCCCCTACATCTCGTACGCGCACTCCCCGATCCCGGATCTGTAACGAGTATAGATACTTTCAAACCGTTACAGGCGGCAGCAGGCGAGGAGCGATCGTTGCGGAAGGAGGAGAGAGTGGAAGGGAGGGAGGCAGAGGGAGAGAGAGATGCGGGTGGGAGGGTAGGGGAAGAGAAACTGCCGAACCAGGCGAGAGCGGAGGTCGCGGAGCAGCAAGAGAAGGAGGCGGATAAGGAGGAGAAGAGAGAGGAGGAAGTGAAAGAAGGGAAAGAAGAATCAGAAGAGGGGGACGACGAGGATCCCGAGGTGGAGGCGGGCTTTAAGATGTCGCGCGTGTGCGACCGGCTGGTGGACGTGTTCTGGGTGGAGAAGCCCGACCCCGCGCAGTGGCGCCTGCTGCTCGCCTTCAGCGCCGAGTGGGCGCGCATCCGCCCGCACTTCTTTGCGCGCGCCAAGCTGCGCGCGCGCGAGTTCGAGGAGCAGGGCAAGCCCGACAAGGCCGCGGAACTGTACCGCCTGGCGCGCAGGCTCAAAGAGGTGGGGCTGTGCGAGGTTTGGGGTTTTTGACTCCCGGATAGGGGTTTGGGAGTGGGGTGTTCAAAGCGCAAGGGTTATGGGGTTTAAAGTTGAGACTGTAGAGTTTTGGTCTTCGAATTCTTGCGGGGGTGTTGAGCATGCAGGTGCGGTTGCACTCGTCGGAGCCTCCATGAGCGTACCATGCTGGTGAGGTGAATGCGCTGATCTTATCATTCATGTCAGTGGATTGTTGTGTTATGGCAAGCAAGTAAGCAAGCAAATAAGTAAGCAAGCAAGCAAGTAAGCAAGCAAGCAAGTAAGCAAGCAAGTAAGCAAGCAAGCAAGCAAGTAAGCAAGCAAGCAAGTAAGCAAGCAAGCAAGTAAGCAAGTAAGCAAGTAAGCAAGTGAGCAAGTGAGCAAGTGAGCAAGCAAGCAAGTAAGCAGGCAAGTAAGCAAGTAAGCAAGTAAGCAAGCAAGCAAGTAAGCAAGTAAGCAAGTAAGCAAGTAAGCAAGTAAGCAAGTGAGAAAGTGAGCAAGCAAGCAAGTAAGCAAGCAAGTAAGCAAGTAAGCAAGCAAGCAAGCAAGTAAGCAAGTAAGCAAGTGAGCAAGTGAGCAAGCAAGCAAGCAAGCAAGTAAGCAAGTAAGCAAGTAAGCAAGTGAGCAAGTGAGCAAGTGAGCAAGTGAGCAAGCAAGCAAGTAAGCAAGCAAGTAAGCAAGTAAGCAAGTAAGCAAGCAGGCAAGCAAGCAAGTACGCAAGTAAGCAAGTGAGCAAGCAAGCAAGTAAGCAAGCAAGCAAGTAAGCAAGTAAGCAAGTGAGCAAGTGAGCAAGCTAGCAAGTAAGCAAGTAAGCAAGTAAGCAAGTAAGCAAGTGAGCAAGTAAGCAAGTGAGCAAGTGAGCAAGCAAGCAAGTGAGCAAGTGAGCAAGTGAGCAAGCAAGCAAGTGAGCAAGCAAGCAAGTGAGCAAGTGAGCAAGCAAGCAAGTGAGCAAGCAAGCAAGCAAGCAAGTAAGCAAGCAAGCAAGTGAGCAAGCAAGCAAGCAAGCAAGCAAGTAAGCAAGTGAGCAAGTGAGCAAGTGAGCAAGTGAGCAAGTGAGCAAGGGAGCAAGCGAGCAAGCGAGCAAGCAAGTAAGCAAGTAAGCAAGTGAGCAAGTGAGCAAGCTAGCAAGTAAGCAAGTAAGCAAGTAAGCAAGTAAGCAAGTGAGCAAGTAAGCAAGTGAGCAAGTGAGCAAGCAAGCAAGTGAGCAAGTGAGCAAGTGAGCAAGCAAGCAAGTGAGCAAGCAAGCAAGTGAGCAAGTGAGCAAGCAAGCAAGTGAGCAAGCAAGCAAGCAAGCAAGTAAGCAAGCAAGCAAGTGAGCAAGCAAGCAAGCAAGCAAGCAAGTAAGCAAGTGAGCAAGTGAGCAAGTGAGCAAGTGAGCAAGTGAGCAAGGGAGCAAGCGAGCAAGCGAGCAAGCAAGTAAGCAAGTAAGCAAGTGAGCAAGTGAGCAAGCTAGCAAGTAAGCAAGTAAGCAAGTAAGCAAGTAAGCAAGTGAGCAAGTAAGCAAGTGAGCAAGTGAGCAAGCAAGCAAGTGAGCAAGTGAGCAAGTGAGCAAGTGAGCAAGCAAGCAAGTGAGCAAGCAAGCAAGTGAGCAAGTGAGCAAGCAAGCAAGTGAGCAAGCAAGCAAGCAAGCAAGTAAGCAAGCAAGCAAGTGAGCAAGCAAGCAAGCAAGCAAGCAAGTAAGCAAGTGAGCAAGTGAGCAAGTGAGCAAGTGAGCAAGTGAGCAAGGGAGCAAGTAAGCAAGTGAGCAAGTGAGCAAGTGAGCAAGCAAGCAAGTGAGCAAGTGAGCAAGTGAGCAAGTGAGCAAGTGAGCAAGCAAGCAAGTGAGCAAGTGAGCAAGTGAGCAAGGGAGCAAGCCAGCAAGTCAGCAAGTCAGCAAGTGAGCAAGTGAGCAAGTGAGCAAGTGAGCAAGTGAGCAAGCAAGCAAGTGAGCAAGCAAGCAAGTGAGCAAGTGAGCAAGCAAGCAAGTGAGCAAGCAAGCAAGCAAGCAAGTAAGCAAGCAAGCAAGTGAGCAAGCAAGCAAGCAAGCAAGCAAGTAAGCAAGTGAGCAAGTGAGCAAGTGAGCAAGTGAGCAAGTGAGCAAGGGAGCAAGCGAGCAAGCGAGCAAGCAAGTAAGCAAGTAAGCAAGTGAGCAAGTGAGCAAGCTAGCAAGTAAGCAAGTAAGCAAGTAAGCAAGTAAGCAAGTGAGCAAGTAAGCAAGTGAGCAAGTGAGCAAGCAAGCAAGTGAGCAAGTGAGCAAGTGAGCAAGCAAGCAAGTGAGCAAGCAAGCAAGTGAGCAAGTGAGGCAAGCAAGCAAGTGAGCAAGCAAGCAAGCAAGCAAGTAAGCAAGCAAGCAAGTGAGCAAGCAAGCAAGCAAGCAAGCAAGTAAGCAAGTGAGCAAGTGAGCAAGTGAGCAAGTGAGCAAGTGAGCAAGGGAGCAAGCGAGCAAGCGAGCAAGCAAGTAAGCAAGTAAGCAAGTGAGCAAGTGAGCAAGCAAGCAAGTGAGCAAGTGAGCAAGTGAGCAAGTGAGCAAGTGAGCAAGCAGCAAGTGAGCAGTGAGCAAGTGAGCAAGGAGCAAGTCAGCAGTCAGCAAGTGAGCAAGGAGCAAGTGAGCAAGTGAGCAAGCAAGCAAGCACGAGGAACCAGTGATGCGGCGCAGTGAGCCCGTGGTTGGCACGACTCTGTGAGGGGCTGCTGGCTTGGCGTGGCAGGCTCGCCTGTGAGCTGCTGTGCCTCCTCCTTGTCTCTGTGGGGGAATCTTCAAATCGTTGAAGTCGAGTGACAAGGGCACGGCTCTCAGGGGCAACGGCTCTCAGGGGCACGGCTCTCAGGGGGGTGGTGGCGGCAGAGAGAAGAGAGGCTCACCCCTAGGCTCTCGTCCCGCTGCCCTCCTGTCGGCCCTTCCCCAGGTGGACGACTCAATGACGGCACACAACCGAGCTCTTCTCATTGGTGGAGGAGCACGAGGCGGAGGGCGCGCTGGAAGGGCTGGTGGCGAGGCGGCGGAGGGACTTCACGGGGGAGTTCTTTGAGCACCTGCAGATCCTGTGCCACACCAACCGTGATCACCCTCAGCGGCAGGACGGTGAGCGGGGGATGGGGAGTGGTGGGAGTGGTTAAAGGGTGAGTGGGAGTGGTTGGGTTGGGACGTCATGGGGGAGTTGTTTGAGCATCTGCATATCATGTTCCAGACCGACCATGATAACCCTCAGAGGCAGGACGGTGAGAAGATGAGGGGTGCAGGGCGAGGTGAGGGACACTTCTTGAGTCTGCACGGGGCTTAAAAAGAACTCCGTGGGGTGATCCTTTGAGCATTTGCAGATCATGTGTCACGCCAGCCGTGACAACCCGCAGCGACAGCACTGTGAGTGGTACAAGGGTGAGATGTGATGTGAGTGGTAGAAGAGTGAGTGAGAGTGAAGGGGCGGAGTCCTTTGAGCACCTGCAGAGGCTGTGCCAGGCCATGCATGACAACCCACTGATGGCAGGACGGTGGGTGGCGAGATGGGGTGTGTGTGGCACTTCAAAGGGGATCTTACTTGGGAGTAGTGTTCAGCAACTGCAGGCCATGTCGTGTCCGTGCACCTGCTGTGCCTGCATCTTCACAGCAAGAGGACAAGCTTCACCCTCACTTTCTCTACCTGTGTCTACTCTACCTGGCTGCACTGCACCTGTCCCTACGTTACATACCCCCCCTTTCCATGTGCAGAGATCGCATCCCTGGCAGCCAAGTGTGTAACAGCAGTTGACATTCACGACTAGGTCGAAGTAGATGAGGCAGCAGCAGTGCAGGCCGCGTAAACCAAGTTTGACGACATCGTGGGGAGTGAGCCTGGCAGAGGCGTGTGGGAAGATCGACCATTCTGTACCTGCCTGTACCTGTCCGTCTCCCCTTTCTTTCCTCATGGACGGATTGCATCCCTGGCAGCCAAGTGTGTGACAGCGATGGACATTCACGACAAGGTGGAGGCAGATGAGGTGGCTCTGGAGGCGCCACAGGCCAAGTTTGACTCTCTTTACCTGTTTCAACCTGTCTCTACCTCTCTCTACATGTCTGTACATATCTCCCATTATCCATTGCAGAAATCTCATCCCTAGCAGCCAAGTGTGTGACAGCGGTGGACATTCACAACAAGGTGGAGGCGGATGAGGTGCGGTGGAGGGAGCTCATTCTAATGTTGCCTCTCTCTATATGTCTGTCTGTGCGCATCTCCCGTTGCCCCATGCAGAGATCGCATCCCTGGCAGCCAAGTGCGTGACAGCGGTGGACATTCACGATAAGGTGGAGGCGGATGAGGTGGGCGGTGGAGGCGGCTCAAGCCAAGTTTGACGACATCATGGGTAGCGCCAGCCTGGCAGAGGCGTGTGGGAAGATCGACCAGCTGGCGGCGCGGCAGCAGCTGGACTCGACGCTCATGCTCATGATCACCAAGGCATGGGCTGCTGCCAAGGAGAGCAACATGATGAAGGATGAGGTGCGAGAGGGAGATGCAATGGAGGATTAGGTGAGGAGATGAGAGGAGGGAGAGGGAGGGAGAAAGGTTGAGATGAAGAGAGAAAGGTGGAGCCTCATACCTTACCGATCTGTTTCTCTCGATCATTTGGGGAGGTCAGCGTGCACCACATGGATAAGCAGGCGCAGAGCAACATGCGCATGCCTTACCCATGTGCCTTGATGTACCATCATTCTTCCTCTCACCCACGTGGTGAAGGACACCATGTACCATCTGTTTGTACAAGCAGGCGCAGATCTACTTGCATGTGCCTGTGCTCCAGCCCACACCATTCTGTTCCTTCGCCTGCTGTGTTTTTTCACCCTCATATACGTGCACACTGCCATACCACCGCCCTCAGGTGAAGGACATCATGTACCATCTGTACAAGCAGGAACAGATCAACAGGCACATGACGCCTTACCCATGTGCCTTCATGTACTTATTTTTCCTCACACCCCCCCCCCCCCAGGTGAAGGACATCATGTACCATCTGTACAAGCAGGCGCAGATCAACATGCGCATGCTCGTGCCCAAGGAGGTGCGCATCCTGCGCCACGTGCTCGCTATAGACGACCCCCGCCAGCAGCTCACAGA